TGAGTACCATTGATTCTTTAATGGATAGTGATTCATAAAACACATTCATGAACCAGAGCGCTCTTACTAATCCAAGTACCGAATCAACACTCAAGAGAATTATTTATCTACTTATTTCTCAAGAAGGAATGGATTCCATCTCGTATAATAACATTCCCGGCTACCTATTTCATCATTTTTCCAAAATACAAGGAATATGATTCAAGGTCTCGGAATCCATACCGAGTAAATTAAAAGACATGAATCCATAAATAGAAGTTTGTTAAGAACTCATGATTAAGATCATTCTATATATGACCATCGGTAGACTCAATTAGAATTTCTATGCTTAACGGAAATGATTAGAAATTCATATTGTGTCTGTGTCCCTGTTCCACATAATCTCATTATGCGAAATACACTCATTCAATATCTCACCATATTAACAGTGTGGATAACACCGTTCCATTCTAAATGGGAATGACATGTATTAATAATGTTTTAATTAAAGATTCTAAACTTTAATTAAATTCATTATGAACAATATTTTTTATTATTATCCTCAAACATTATCCTCTCGTATATAACACTTATATACTATGTTTAAGGTTACATAAATAATCACGGAATTTTCATTTGATATTCATAAAATATTCATAAATATATGCACATAAAATGATGAATAAACTCTTTTATTATTTAAATAATAAATATCATATTACATCTTATGCTTCTAGGACACTATTCCCAACAATCTCCCACTTGTCCTAAAGCAGGTGTGTCATGTCTCTAATCCCAAATCCATCTAAGTGCCGATCAAATACATTCAATGGCAATATTTTGGTGAACGAGTCAGTAAGGTTATTCTCTGACACGATCTTCAGAACCGCTACATCGCCTCTATCCACAATGTCTCTGATCAGGTGATATTTCATTTCTATATGTTTCGCACTCTTATGGCTTCTAGGTTCTTTTGAATTAGCCACCGCTCCACTGTTGTCACAGTAGAGCTTAATTGGCTTATCCATATCTGGAACAACTTCCAGATCAGTTAAGAACTTCCTGAGCCATGTAGCTTCTTTTGCAGCTTCACAAGCTGCAACATATTCAGCTTCCATGGTAGAGTCAACAACACACTTTTACTTTATACTTCTTTATACCACGGCTCCTCCATTAAGAGTGAACACAGATCCAGATGTCGACCGTCGACTATCTCTATCCGATTGGAAATCAGAATCCGTGTATCCGGTGAGAGACAGATCTTCTCCGGAATATACTAACATATAGTTTCTCGTTCTTCTAAGATACTTGAGAATACACTTTACTGCAACCCAATGATCTAATCCTGGGTTGGACTGGTAGCGACTGACCACTCCCACTGCATAGCAGATATCTGGTCTTGTACACAACATGACATACATAAGGCTTCTCACGGCCGAAGTATAGGGATACCGTCTCATATCTTCTTCCTGTTGTGGAGTCTTTGGATATTGCTCCTTAGAAAGATGAATACTATGCCTAGAAGGCAAATTCCCTTTCTTGGAGTTATGCATCGAATATCTAGACAATACTTTGTCTATATAAGATGCATGTGATAACGCCAAAAGCTTTTTCTTGCGATCTCGAATAATCTTAATCCTAAGAACATAGCTTGCCTCTCCCAAATCTTTCATTTGGAATTGGTTGGCTAACCACTCATTTACATCTGTCATCAATCCCACATAATTCTCAATGAGTAGGATGTCATCGACGTAAAGAATTAAAAAACTTTCTCTTCTTTCTTGTACTTGTAGACGCATGGTTCATCAATGTTTTGATCAAATTCATAAGACTTTATAGCCTCATCAAACCTGATGTTCCATGATCTAGAAGCATGCTTCAGTCCATAAATGGACCTTTGCAGTTTGCAGACTTTCTGCTTTTGGCCTTCCTCTATGTAACCCTCTGGCTGTTCCATATAGATGGTTTCCTCAAGATAGCCATTCAAAAAAACTGTCTTGACATCCATCTGCCATATCTCATAGTAAAATATGCTGCAATGGCCAGGAGTATCCAGATGGACTTAAGCATAGCTACTGGCGAGAAAGTTTCCTCATAGTCAACTCCCTCCTTTTGGGTATAACCCTTAGCCACTAGTCTTGCTTTATAAGTATCTCCTTTTCCATCCGCTCCTCCCTTTCTCTTGAAGATCCACTGGCATCCAATGGGTTTTACCCCTTCGGGTAGATCTACAAGTTGTCAGACTGAGTTAGAGTGCATACACTCCATCTCGAGTTTCATAGCTGCTTGCCATTCTTCCTTATCAGAATCATCCATCGCATCCTTAAAGGTCGATGGATCCTCTTACCGTCATCAGCAGTGACGATTTGGGCTTCCCCGGTATACCGGTCGGGTAACATGCTTACCCTCCCACTACGATGAGGTGCCTTAGGAGTCTGATCAGGAACTGTGGTCTTTTCTCTGAGTGGTCTGACAACTCTTGTCGGTTGTGGTCCGATCTCATCGGAAAGTAACTCTTCCAATACTATTTTACTTCTGGGCTTAAAATCTATCATATAGTCATGCTCGAGAAAAGTGACATTTGTCGATACAAACACCTTTTGATCTTCAGGACTATAAAAGAAATCTCCTTTCGTCCCATCAGGATATCCTACAAACATACACA